TAAGCCCATTCGTGTTGCACCCATAGCAATTCCTCGCTTTATGCTTTTCGAAGTCCTGGAAGGCACGGAAAAATCGAAGAGATCTATCATACAAGTAGTATATAATAACTGAGAGAAAACAAGTGCACGAACTCTGTGCTTGGGGGTCTTCCTATGCTTAGGCTTTCCGAACTGACAAGGAAGGGTCAAGTGGACAGTCTGGCCATTTGAAATGAGATGCATACCTGCCACGTGCCTCTAAACGCTGAAATATATTTCGCTATCTGTGAAAGGAATTCCTGAAAGATGTCATGAAGCTGAAAAGCGCCAAAAGTAGTTACCTTCTTAAGTCTCATAGGCAGGAGATTGTGGGATCGATTCCAGTGCGAGTCAGTACCCTTGGTATTTTCAGAAATGTAGCTAGAGAGACATTTAACATATCTTTGAGAAGCGCAAAACCATTGACCCGCACTGGAGTCGATCCCACGACCTCCTGCCTATGAGGCAAGATAGCTACCACTGCGCTTTTCAGCCTCATAACTTTTTTCAGGAAACCGTTCCACAGATAGCGAAAGTGGATTCAAACTAAACGTCTCGAGGCTACATGAGTCTACATTTCATATCAAATATCCGGACTGACCAAGTGACCTTCCCGGGTGAGCTTTGGCGCCGGTAAACATGGGTGAGAACAAAATCGGGCTATCGAACCGTAGCAAGGATCAATCACTAATGCTCAGGTTTGGAAAGGTCTCTCACAACGGGAACCGCAATCACCAATTCCTATGCCAATTTGGGAAGCATGGTCTAGGTTGCGCGTCGCAGCAAAGTAATTGCCTAGAACTGCTGACACGACAAAAATTATCTTTGCTCTGCCACACTCATATTGATTAAAAAAAATTTACCAACTTATTGAATTGATCGACTTCTTTGCGCTTTTTCTCGAACTCACTCCATTGTAAACACTCATTCCAACACTCAAGGAGAGCATCATTGAGGATCACTTCCTTATTAAGCCGCACTGATCCACTCTTGTTGAAATTCATTTCCATTATCTAAATCACAGATGTCTGTCTGGATGTCGAGTATAAGGCTGCTTTCATACTTCGCGCCGTTGCAGCCACTGCGGACAATGCGAACGGCGCGGCCGGTGTGGACAGTGCCAAGAGCGTTAACACGCGCTCTGGCGCACGACGTGTCCCTGGCGTACAGTCAGTAGCTTGCGATCGATATTTTCAATTTCAATGCATTCTGCATAATTGTGTACCATGTTGTTTTCGTTCATGTTTTTCCGATCTTTGTTCTTTTTCCTTTTTTGTCCCAATATTTCCCAATTGTGTCTGAACGAGTAGCGGGGTAGTCTGCACGTAGCGGTAAGCCCCAACTGAGTCCTTTAGTGCGCACAGACAATATTTCACACCAAAAAGAAAAAAATTTCGAGCAAGAAAAACACGAACGAAGGTGACACGGCCAAAAGACATTGAAAATATTTAGAAGGAATGCATCGAAATTATATTAATGATCGGAAGGCGCCGGTTGTGCTCCAAGTACCCGTCATGCGCCAGAGCGCGTATTGACGCTCTTCGCATTGTTCGCGCCGTCTGCTCTGTTCGAAACGTCCGCAGCGGTGTATGAAAGAAATTAGAAGTCGCTACTACTACATCCTATAATTGAGCCGAATGGGCGGAGCAGAGCGCGTAACCAGGACGTCTGTTATTGGTAAAATTTCTGCGATAACCAATCGTGGGTGGGTGTCGGCCAGGAGGTCTACATTGTCGCAGCTTTCCGAAGGGGCGTCACAAATGGAGTTGCATGCAAGGACTATGCCATATGAGAGGCATGAGCATGAATAATGGCGCCGGTGTGCGTCGGCGCAGCCAACTTCTGCGAAAAGCCGCAGTATGGGTCTCCGTTTACCTACATCTCGTTTTGAGACTACAAAACACACAAAAATATGTTTTGATACTCGGCCAATTGACCGAGCAAAATATACAGAGAGTGTGTGGCACAACAACAATGATAATGATAACGTACCTTCTCAAGAGGGACATGTACAACGTGAGCAGCATGTGAAAGAATGCCATTCATAGCAAAAAATGCCTGAGGTGCGCCGAAACCTCTGAAAACGATGATATTTATTCATATGCGCATATAATGTCTCGTGGCCATGAACCTTTTTTGTTCTGTGTGTCTTCCCTTACAGTGCAGTGTACTGAGTGTGAAATGTTGCTCAAAACTGGAGCCAGGGTGAATAACGGTCGAAAATCCTCGACCATGGCTCTGTACTGTGTGAGAGTAGTGTCGAGAGTGAATGTACGCGCGGAGAGCACAGACGGCTCGCGCATGGCGAGAGTGAATGTCCGCGCGGAGAGCGTGACTGAACAGGCGAAAATCCTCGACAACTCATCGACTAATCCTCGACCGATTTTCACCCTACTTGGAGCTACGGCGCAGCTTGATGTTTCAATTTGCGCATATAGTAGAAACGTATGGCGAAACATTTTTCATACAGTGTTTCAACATTGTTTCTGCAGCACTTAGATATGTTCTCATCAGCCTCAGCGCTAGCGATTAGACGGATAACAGGGGCCGCGGAACGGACTGTTACCGTAATCCGCCGCCGCAACAAATCGATGCCACGTGGCATTCGACATGCCTCTTTTGTCGTTTTTCTGCGCACTCCACGACGACAGTATGGACGATACGGAGCCCGTCCATTGTACGGAGCACCTGAGCTGTAGAAGGGTGAATGTGGCAACGTGTCGAACTGGCCGGAGCGTGCTTCGCCGGCATGTTGGAGTTAACCTCCCTTGCCCCGCGCGCAAAGCGCACACAGCGTCCGCCTCGCCGCGGGAACGGTGACAAGACCGTGTTCAATTCATTTAGAAGGCGCGGCCGCGGGTTACGGTTACAGTCGTTCCGCGGCCTTTATTATCTGTCTTGTGCGCTAGCGCCTTCTCTAGCTTTCCCATTTCCAAGTTTTAACTTGATCGGGTTGACGTTGGCAAGTTCGGTAGCCCATTGTGTCACGTACAGTCATATCTCCATGCTACTCAGCTCATTTGACAAAATTTCTCAGGAAATTGAGCTTCGCGCTTAGAGGGAATTTTTGTCTGAACACTTGGGAGAGAAGTAATAGGTTGGGTTTTCGTTTGTGTGGCGATACATCTCCCGTGGAACTAAAAGGTCTGTTAAGTTCACCGTTGCGGTCGACCCTCAAATTCGTATGGCTTCATTTTATGTGCGACAAAGAATGCTCAGAACTTACCTGAACGCCGTGTTGTTGGACTTGTTTGTTTTCAATGCAAATCCTTCGACTCTCATTACGGGTATGTTATAACAAGCATCTGCCAGCGATGCCGCTACCCATGTAACCTGAATGATGCTCCAGGAAGTTAGCCAAGCAGTAGAATCAAGTTGTTCATAAAATCAGTGGTAGGAAAGGAAAGTAAGTCAAGTAGTAGGAAAATGTTGTGCACAATCTGATTTCACCATAATGTTCCTGGGAATAGTGTGCAACCACTGCAACACGTACGAGAATGGCTGTAATTGGTGATCGTGGGCCCTGTCCTATCATAGGCACTCTTACTGCACTTTTTTGCGCCTACTTAGCACCATGGTGCGGTAGCGATTGCAAACGTCACATTTCATGCGGTTTCAAGTTTATATAACTCAAAATGTTCAATCTTACCCAAGGTGACATATCGCAAGCATAGCCTCCATCAATGTACACTTTGAGATATGCACAACGAAGCATTCCATTAGTATCCAGCCCAACTCTAAACACTAACTTTCTTTCCAACCTAACACCATTACGTTACTCCTTTTCGTTCAACTGTAATTAACTTCTATTCTGCTTTTCAACTTTACTTTTGATGAATACCAGTGAAAGTACAGAAGACGTTTTTTCAGTACTCGCAAAAAATTTACCTGTACTTCACTATGGCTGGATGACGTTTCCCAGTTATAACCATGTCCTCATTCCTGTTGAGCACGACACTGACAGGACGATGTAGCGCATGTGCCGCAACCGCCGCCCAGACTCCAGGCGACAAACTTTGAGAAGCTTTGCCACCAAATGCGCCCCCAACACGTTTAACCTAGATAAGTTTAAACATGAAGAATCAGAACAAAAAACGGGAAAGCCAAAGGAGAGGATGTAAGAAAATAAAAGCACCCACTCTCACGGTAATTTTATGTGCTGGAACGTTTAGCACAGCCGATGTGAAAAGCTGTAGCAAGTTTATCGCTTGCGTTGAAGAATGAATAATCCTTAATTAATTGAGAATGACTAACGTCTAAACGAAAAAAAAGCACACCGCCACAATGTAATCACTACCATTCATCATTCTCTCCCGGTACAGCAATACTACCTTGCGGTTCCATATAGCAGTGCTCCTGAGCCCCAGTTGTCGTCGTTCCTGAAGTGGATAATCACTGCATTAAGAAAATTGTGCGGTATCGTGAAATTCAGTTATCTGAACTGAGCACACCCATTTTGCTGGAGTGGCTGAGGGAGATGGCGCGATTGAGGGCACATACTGCAAATGTCAGGCCGATGTCATAGTTTGCGAATCGAGCGTTCGCTAGCGAATCGAGCGTTGCACCAGCGAATCGAACGTTGCGCCAGCGAATCGAACGATGCACCAGCGAGTCGAACTATGTACCAGCGACTCAATAGTGGCGGGACCCAACGTTCAAAGGAAGCCCGCCACTTTCAAACAGTGTCCACGACACTGTTTGAAAGTGGCGCTTCCTTTGAACGTTGGGTCCCGCCACTATTGAGTCGCTGGTACCTAGTTCGACTCGCTGGTACATCGTTCGACTCGCTGGTGCAACGTTCGATTCGCTGGCGCAACGCTCGGATCCAGCGATTCGCTAGCGAATCGCTCGATTCGCAAACTATAACATCGGCCTAGCTGCCATTTTACCAACTGAGATGTAGAGTACGCGGGACAGTTAGGGTTTCGTCACGGGCACCTTAAGGCTGCGAAATATACCCTAAAGAGAATGCATATTGCTAGGAGTTCTAAGCAGGTCACCCGTCCGCTATTCCAGTTCCACAATTTGACGACCTTCCCCTATTACAGAGGAGATCTCGAGACGGCCTACCCCTCCAAGACGTCCCCCCTCCCCGCTACCCTTACCATCACGACTGTTGGTTGTTTCTGTAGTATTCGATGCTAAGCCAGTAAACACAGTCCTAACTTCACCCATCTACTCCCACAAAACGGCCGTCTAGAGGGAGATGAAGAGTGAAGTGTCTGCAGCACATCCTCTATGTTTGACCATTTCACACGGCTTTCATGAAGTTTTCACCAAAATCGTCTCAATAACCCGTGCAATAACCCTTCAAAGTGATCGCACTTCGTCTACACGACCCCTTCATCTGTCTAACCCTCACCAACCCCAAACACGACACAAAAATTTCAATCACGACCCTGTTTGACCCCCGTCGGAAGGCTCTCGCAATCCCTCAGTACCAGCTCGCATACAAAGAAGCTGCTTGAATTCGCAGAAGCTGTAGAGAGCACAGCACTGTCGACATAAGAGGTACGGCAAGTAATAGACTCGCTCAATAGCTCAAGTAATAGATCCCCCATTCCACGCTTTTCTCTCCAGCACCCAGAGCAATTTCCACAATCAAATACCTCTGTATTCTTTCACAGAGAGGACCAAAGTTGCGAATAGAGAATCTTCACATTATACCTTCAATTACGACAGCACACTTTGAAAGCCCGTCCTCGACTTCTCCTGTATCGACTCCAAACTGATGTGCTTGCGCATGATATGACTTCAGTTCGATAGCTTCCTGGAAGTGAAATAACGTATGTTAGTCAATGGTTGAGAAAAGGAGTAGTGCTGATTAGTGGTACAATCAGAGCCTCCCACCAGCTAATCCGCGCCGGTGCGTAAAGCGTGGCCCAGTGGGCCTGCGCGGTGCATGTGACAGAATGCGAGTGATGTCAATCACGTGGTAAGGTGTGCTGCGCGACATATTTGCTCCTAAATTAGATTGCTGATACCCCCCCCCTTAACTCTCCCCCTCATTCAAAGGTGTTCACCTCACCGTGTATGCGTCCTTACTTGTTCCCGCGCTGGGCGAATGCCTTGAATCAATACAGCTCAATTTCTCGCAAGGTGGCTCGCAAAAAAAGTGTGCTTCGCCGCGACGTGACCTACGAATACACACTTGAGCTTGATAAATTTCCTTGTGCCTACGAGGTTGTTTGGTGGAACATTTATTAATGGCCTAACGTTTCGACTGAATCGTCGTCTTCAGAGGCCGTCGGTTCCACCCTTTGAGCGGAAAGGTCCGCTGCCACACAGAGCGCTAGTCAGTTAAAACTTTTAAGTTAACTAGAGTTTTAACTGACTAGCGCTCTGTGACCTTTCCGCTCAAAGGGTGGAACCGACGGCCTCTGAAGACGACGATTCAGTCGAAACGTTAGGCCATTAATAAATGTTCCACCGAACAACCTCGTAAGGCACAAGAAACATCAAACTTACAACTGACATGCCGAGGTTACAAGAAGAGAGAAGTTGGAGAATTCTACACGCTTGAGCGTTAGTGCATTGCATAACGCGCAATGCATAATACATAGATGATAGAGTGCAACCAAACGTAAGTTACAGTGATTTTCATGCGGAACACACGAACACGTGCCACTTGCCAACATGCTTACCTCTATTGTGAGCACCGCTGGAAGCTCCTCATAGTCAATTTTCACAAGCTTAGCTGCACGACGAGCTGTCTCCACTTCCTTGGCCACCACTATGCCAATAGCCTGGCCTACTGCCAGCACCTTTGAAGAAAACATTGAACCTTGAGATGATCTCACATGGAATGTAAAAAAATACAATGCGCTTACTTCTCCATCGGCAAACATTGGCGTATCATCAGCTCCTAATATGTTGAGTGGTATCTTTCCGGGATAGTTTGTCCCACCTTTCGGTATATCCTTAATTTGATTAGCACGATTATTTTTTATCCATGCAATCAATTATTCAAGAAGAAGAAAAAATTGGGTCATATTTAGCTCCTGTTGGGGTGTGCCATGTATTCAGCTTCACTTAGAGCTACGTTGCGAATGCAGATCCTGACCACTACTGGAGTTCACTGTTGCATACCAGTAACTGTCCTACATCTTGACAGTCCTGATATCTCAAGTACAGAGAGTCGCTTTTCCTAGTTTTTCTGAGCGAATTTTGACCCGGGGTCATTCCCGGCGGGTGTCCCCCAAGAGGCCCATCGCGCGGCGAAGGAAGAGACGCAGACGCGGCAAAGGACGAGTCGCAGCGCATACTGTAGCGGTTAGGCGTCAGGTTAAATAGAGTGTACCATACTACGTCTCATATCGCACAGCACGCGCTGCGACTCGTCCTTTGCCGCATCTGCGTCTCTTCCTTCGCCGCGCGATGGGCCTCTTGGGGGACACCCATTTCCGGCTCACACAAGTGCCTCATGACCTTGCTTTCCAGTAACACTTCTTCATCCGATATGCACCCCTAAGTTTGGCTCGATTGCTGCATTTTTTGCAAAAATTTTGCAGACTGAACGTGAACAAATCGAGAGTCCTTGTTTGAGGGGAAAACGGTGTACATGAAATTTCCTCACATTGATGTCGCGAAAATATCCTCAAAAACGAATTAGCCGGTCTATCGCTGCTTCAGATGCCATCCACTTTGAGAATTTTAGCATGAGCTTTTGAAGAGAGGACCACACCGACGTGGACAACATCTGAAAAAATGCTCTTACCAAGACGAAGAGGGCGAAACATCAGCCACTAACATTAAGGCTCGAAAGATTAAAGGTACACCCCACGATTAACACTGAGTGTACATGCCTACCGAAATTCCCAACAGGCTTTCCCCGGCAGATAAATCTAGAAAGGTGGAAGGTCTGCACGTGCCGCGGTTTCAGAGTGTGCAACAAGCGCACAAGGGCTTGTTTTGATCGTAAACGACTGCAGCTTCTGTTGGGTGCAGCTAACGGTTGTGTGATACTCTCTCCCCTATTGTTTTTCAGGCGCAAGGTATGCTTTCGGTGCATGCGACCAATCCACATTCATAAAAAAAAGGAGCACTCTATTCCAAGTCATTTCAGATGTTGTCACCTTCTTTTCCTCCGTTATGGTCATTTTTATAAGGCAAACATGTATTAAATTTTTTGAGAATTGGCCTTCCAAAAAGCCAATCGTTTCAAAAGAAGTGATATGCAATAGAATCTACTAATGGGTAGAAATAAAGGAATATCTGCCTTGTTTTCGATTGTTGGAATGAAATGGTGCCCGGTAGCGTAACTGGTAGCGCACTTGCCCGGAAAGCGAGAGGTGCGGGTTCTAGTCCCGCCTGGGGCGAAAGTTTTGTTCACAACCCAGCATTCTTGTGAAACATTCGCAAGGCGAACTGCGGCCAAAAACAGCAGTTAACAATCAAAAACAAGTCAAAATCATTGCTAAAGCTTTCAGCCTCGCGGTCATTGCCGATATCGGCTAAACCGGCTCAACACGTTATACGTGTGAGTGCTGACAAGCTATGGTAAGTATACCATGAAAAGCTGAGTTGGAATGAAATGGTGCCCCGGTAGCGTAACTGGTAGCGCACTTGCCCGGAAAGCGAAGGTGCGGGTTCGAGTCCCGTCTGGGGCGAAAGTTTTGTTCACAACCCAGCATTCTTGTGAAGCAATATCTGCCATAATCTCCAAAAACAAGACTGTGACTATTTTTTCACCAGAACTTCTAGAGGAAGAGTATCCGATTAGAAGGCAGCCCATTTGAAATCAAGGTAGAGGTGATCAGCGGTGTAGGGATGAGAGAAACCATGAAAAACGGCCGAGAACGAGATTGGACCTAATCTTTGTCCGTTGATTCCTGTACTGATCCACTCTCATCGGTACTGCCCTTTTCAACGTTAACGCTCTTTCTGCTACACAGCTAAAGGGTCAGTCGGCGAGAGGGTAGGCGCGCCGCGGCTTTAGTGGCGAGGAGATGGCTACATTGCCGGGGGGGAGGGAGAGGGAATGCATTGCTGCGAGCTGTGTGTCGGTCCACCTGTCCTCCTACGATAGATAGGGTTCCCCTTTTTCAAACTCCTAAACTTATCGTGGCATTTTCCTTCAAGTAAGCCCGCTCGAGAAAAACATCAACCCAAAAACATCACTTTGCAGATATTGCTCAGTTTTAGCGTATATGCAGTTCCAGGAATGCTGCAGCGCATTGCCAAAAACTCGAATTTTCGCTATAATTTAGCTTTAGTATTTTGTAGCAGGTACAAACTATTAAACACGACCGTATGTCACATTCTGCTACCTTTAATCTTCATATCATTGACGAAGACAGCTTCGCCAGTGGTATATCTATCAGACGACTGAGTGGACAGGGGTCTGCCACAAGCATCCGATTCACCTTGTGACCATTCCTTCAGTGAAAAAATTAGATATAGCTCCGATAGACGATATTACACAGTGATGTCATTGTAGCGCACTACCACTTACCGTATACAACTGCAGGTAATCTTCAGAAGGCTTATCTTCCGCAGTGCATTGTTCACTGCGATTCTCACACATATTAAGTATAGCCGCTCTTGCCAGCTCCCTCCGGAAGCGAAAATCGGGAACTGTTGAGAACTGAGCGATGTCCTCCTCCAGTGCCTCCAAAAGTTCATTGGAATGATCCGCTAATCGATCATAACGCCTGAAATACTACAATGAAGCTCTCGAATGAACAAAAAGTATAGGTCAGGACCGATTGACTTGCTCTTTGAAGGTACAATTTTTAAACAACTGTTTTTTCACACTTTTGGTGACCGTGTTCCTTGTCATTCCAAGAAGAAGGAGGTAATTAAGTGAAATTTTGAAATGTACGCAGTGAGTCGCAAACGCGTTACTTGTAACAAGTGGATGCTACCGCACACTTGGTCCACACCTCTTGGGTCAAAATCTCAAAGGCCCATAAAAACAGACGCTGCTGAGTTGTAGGAGAAAAGATTTTTATAACCAACTGGATCATTAAAGCGTTGAATGTTACGTGAAAATAGTCGCCCATTGGAAGTGAAAGCATATGTGGCCAAGTGGTGCAAAGCTGATGAAAAAAGGGGTAACGACTGGAAATCTTCGAGATAGGACCCTTGATTTCCTAGCTGATTAAGGCGCAGCACTGATTGTCATCAATCCCCTGATCAACTTTTGCAAAAAGAGCTAGAGCACTGTCGGTATTGTACCACCTCGGAATGGCTGCCTCTGGCAGCCAATCGAAGTGAAGCGTGCCTCAAGAAATCTTGGTCCTATTCAGCTTGATGGAGGAAGGAGGGGTATATAAGTGGGATCAACAGCGAACAGAGCAGAGCAAGTATGCGAGAGGAGGGAAGACGACTCGTGTTAGATATCGCTGGATGTCAAACGCGCAGTGCATCCTTGAAGGAACTTTGATTAAGACCGTGAGCGCCACTTGCTGTGATTTTGGTAAAAGTCCTTAACAGAGCCATTTTCACATACCGCAATATATTTTACAGACTCTTTAAGTGAAAAAATTTTTACTTCATAGCGCTCTATTCGTTTTCTGGCAGGTTGCCTTCGAAGGACGTTCAGCGTTCAAAAGTAAAAACTTGCAGTTCTACAAAATATTCCTCGTGTAACTGTTATATCCGTACCATTAGTGCTATTTTTAATTATGCTGCATGAATTCGAACATTTTAGAAATCCATCCTGAGTAAAATAGCCACGACTTTCAACATCTACATCACAATAATGCGCCCCAAGGTCAACTTACGCGTTGCAACAGCAATCAATTTCCTCATTTGCCGTCTACACGCGCGGAGAGGGGCTGTGTCTCGCAACTGTCGTTAGTGAAGGGAAGGGTCACATTCAAAAATTTTCACTAATTTATCGTTCCCTTACTTTAAAATAATGATTTGCTCACTTTCCTCGTAGACACTGACTGACTTTCTTGCTCAATACTGCTCCTGATCCGAATGATAAAGCAATACGGGCTTCCTCGATACCATTTGCCACTAGTAGCACACCAACACAATTTACTATCGTTGAATCAGCTCCTGGACGCATTCCTTGTTTGAAAGTGAACACACGAACGCCCTTCTGAATTGATTTTGCGCCAACTTTGAAAAGTTTAGACTAAACTTTAGAAACAAGAAGTCGTGAATAGTGCACAGAAACATCCATAACATCTTTCCTGCAGCAACATGCAGGGTTTGTGTGGAGGGGGGGGGGCTGAGGAAGTTTCACTCTCCATCCATATTTAAAATGAAATTAACTACTTTGCTGTATTTAAACTGAATGATCCGGGATCAAAATTGAATACACATTCGAGTCTATCGGGAAACTTCATGAAGGTTCTCTCCACCGACGGCATAATGTACGCTTCAAGTTCAACGAGGTGCTCGATGGATCGTAAACGGTTACGACGTAACTGAAACGCTGGTCAAAAGCGGTTTTGCATAGTCACAGCTAATGTCTCTAGGAAGCTATTCAGCAGTTAATTATTGAAGAAATTATGTAGCAGCTTCAGGCGGAGCGATTACGGTAAGCCTCGTTCGAGCTCGACAGTGATGACACATGACATCATACTCCACCGAACACAGTTAGGGCTTTGAACAAGAGCCTGGTCCTGCTCATGGAGGGACATCTGTGGAATATGTTGTAAATTCCATCAACGGTTGCATCCCGTGCTGAGAAAGGTTTGGGATCTGCGCCATAGACAGAGTGACTTTTTTGTTGTTCCGCCTCCAGGGCGATGGACTTTTGGCTCGTCCGGGCTGTCACGCGGCAAATCGCGCGGCGGGCTGCGCGGCGATCCGGACGAGGCATATCTTCGCCAGCTGCAGTCAATCACGTCAAAACGTGTGCAGATCGCGGATAAAATCCGCAAGGTTCTGCGAGTTGCATTACATTTCAACGCATGGAGATAAAAGGACAGCAGTGATGGTAAGGAAACTTTGGTAGGAAGAGATGGGAAGGAGCTAGCATAAGTATGGCTATCAGGGCGCTCATGTCTTGAAGGGGGGGGGGGAGGTACGGTCAAGTGAGTGACGCAATTATTAGCCTATTACAGCCAAAAGAAGAGGAATCGAGCCTCAGAGAAGGGAAGGACGTGAGCAATTTGTTTTCTTTCAGACGTTTCTCCCCTCTCGTGGGCTTAGTCCTATATTTGCCTAGAACCCGCAAAGCCTTGTCCCACACGGATCGCCGCACATACCGCCGCGCAGCTTGCCGTACGCACCCCGGACGAGCAAAAAGCCCCACACCCCCGCCCCCCCCCTCTCCCGTATGTGACCAACAAGTTGTCCACATATAGTGGCTCACCACTGAAAGCAGGTATGCAGCATATACACAATTCCACTACGTGATACTATTGCCTGTTAAGTTTAACAGCTCATTATGATACAACTGTTATAATAAATAAACATACATAGAAGTAAGGTTAGATACTGGAGAACAAACAATCAAAAACCGACAATATACCTGTGACCGTGGGAATATAGCGGCAACAACGACGTCACCTCTTCTTAGCTTCATACGGCCCTTCTTATCCGCGAAATCTGAGAAGAGTCCTGTCGTGAAAGCGCCTCCCAATTCCCGAATCACAACTTTGGGGTTGAAAGCTAAGAACAACGACGAAATGTCGCTTGCTCCTGTCAGCAAGCCACCAGCCCAACTCTAAAATATCCTAATACAATCAGTGTCTATGCGTATACCAGAGGCATCGTGCATGGAACTTTTACGATTTCTCTCAACAGATAGTTTGGTTCTATATAATAGTATGGAAAAGTATTCGGGTAATATGGCGCCAGGAAACACGTACTGTTCAAAAAAAGCTGAAGAGTCGCTTTTTTTACGACAGGTGAAAAAAGTGGGGTTAGAAAATGGGTAAAATGAAACTCTTGCGCTGCATTTAATACCTTACTCGACCGAAATTGCTCCGATGAAATCAAAAGCAGAAATCGTTGGGATTATCTTAGTGGTATACTTCTTTTCGGAACACAAAAAGGATTTTTTGGTGTTTTTGCAAAGTATGAATTCCGTGCAGGGTGCCTCAGGAACAGCTGAGAACTATGGCTTACCGCAACGTTCATGACTTGCATGGACGAAAATTTGTCGAAAAACTTTCTGATTGGTGCGCTAGTTGATAGATCACAGTACTCTTCGAACGATTTGACGAAGTCCGACGTGCTGACGGCGGCCCCAAAAGAGACTTCGTCCTCGCTCGCTTCAACAGCTCTCATCGATGGGAGATTATGGATGCTCACCCACCTAGCACGATGCTTCGGAGATCGTGCAGCCTCTGAAATTGTAGGAAAACTATAAATTGGTAAAATATCACACTTGTGTTTCACAATATGTGTGGCGGACGATTTGACTGCGAACACCAATCGTGTGTGGGCTAAGCATGCGCTACGTACCTTGGTCACCTGTGATTAGTAAGCAATCCAAAACGTAACATAGGAAGCGTTAAATGAGCACTACTAGACAGTGATGATGTTCGTTTTTGCGAGCAACTCCTTCCTGTTTGCAGACACCAACTTTTTTTCCACAGCGGTCTGAACATACGTCGGACTTTTTAAAAAGCCTTTATAAGCACCTCTAGCCCACACCTGGGGATTCTTGATTTAGAAGAGGTAGTCTCGACCTATAGCGCTGCGGTCCCGTCAATAAAAATGCTTTCAGAGCTCGGTAGTAGCTATGCGATGCGCAGGGTGAAAATCGGTCGAGGATTCGTCGACGACTCGTCGAGGATTTTCGCCTGTTCAGTCACGCTCTCCCGCGCGGACATTCACTCTCGCCACGCGCGAGCCGTCTGTGCTCTCCGCGCGTACATTCACTCTCGACACTATTCTCACACTACAGAGCCATGCCAAGGATTTCCTCGACCGTATCTACCCTGGCGATTTGTTGGGTAATCGCCTTGGAGGCGTGATCCGCTAGGTGAATCAATCCCTTCTGGTATCGGGAGAGAGATCCAGACAATTCGAATATGTATGTGCATTTGTCACGGCTTGAGTTGGCGCGACAGTGGCGCCAGGGCCTTATTGTTTCACAGCCGGCAGTATGGACTGTAGCTCGCAGTGCAGCAGTCTGTGCTGCTGGGTGTCTGTGTCCGCTTTTCGCTTTCATCAGCATCCGTAAACGCTATTTAGAAGAACCCATGTAGCTGGTGCAGTATATAACCCCAACCACCTTAATTTTACTGTTTATGTGGCTGCATTTTATGAATCTCTTTCAATCGCAAGGGCTTACCAAATAAGCTCCACGTGTATATGTACCTGGGTGACAGTTCGACCACTAGATTGCCTTAGCTCAAGGAAGAAATTTCGGATCGAATCTCACCCAGATCATGCAATCCGCTCTTTTCCCATGTTAATTGGTACCGGTCTCATTCAGGAAGATAGATCACTAAACCATACAGAGGCTGGTCTAAAATCCAATGTATAATATAAAAGAAATTGCATTTAACGAAACCTCTGCTAATTTGAGCGAGAGCCAGACATACTAGTAAGCCAAATAGCCCTCCCTCCTCCCCCCCCCCCCCCCTCCGCCGGATACATGGACGCCTGAAAAATGCTCGGCTTTTCCTTATTTTACGCAAGAAAACCGCGGTGAAACGTTTAGAAGCAATGGAACTAGAAGAAATTCATGTTGGGTAATCGAAATCTTGACAGAAAGCCCTAAGCAGCGCATAACAGGTGGTGTCGTGCTCCGCAACTTCTCGAAAGCGATTGGACCAGAGCCCCGGTTCGGGGCGGTGAGGATGGTGTTAAAAAAATTATATTCAGTTGTATGTTGTTTAGCTTCCAAAAAGAAACGTACTCAGCCTGGTAATCTGCCCTGACGAGACAACTGTCACCTCATCTTCAACGTAGAAGCAGTCGTCAAATTGCTTCCATGACACGGGTGCTACCAATTTCACTCGACTACCTTCCAAGTATAAAGCACTCGCTGATTTCTCCATCTGAAAAACCGGTTCAAGATGAAGCAATACGGCCTTAACCGTTTATGGATCCATTCCAATAAAGCAGGAGGAAGCATGCCAGTGCAGAGTGCCCAACACGTTTTAAATCACCACAAAATTTGTTTTTATTAGGATTGTTAACAACTAAGCTTTGGGGGGAGGAGGAGCCCGGGGCGTTCCTCCTCTCCCCCCCCCAAGCCCTCATTTTCACTGGAGTTCCGCCCCTTCCAAGGTTATAAGGCTTATAAGAAAAGGTCATCCATTCACTTCGCTCGTTTAAAATGAGATGAACGATGGACCTATAAACGTCACTCGACAGTTTATCTGCAGAATGATTTTCTGGAAGAACCTATGGAGCAGGTAGCGTAGCGTTAGTGAACCAGTCTCACAGACAAGAGGTCGTGGGATCAACACTAATCCGAGTCCGTATTCTACTCGCCTCGACAATATAGTAAAAGGACTTTAAATATATGTCTGAAAAGAGCACAAGTATGGAGCCGCATTGGTGTCGATCCCACGACCCCTTGCCTGTTAGGCAGGGTTGCGGCCACTACGCTTTCCTGCTTGATAACTTCTTCAAAATATCTTTACACAAATAGCGAAGGGAGATTCGAGCTCCGCGTGTCGAGGCATGTATGAAGGAATGCACCCCATTTTTAATACCGAACTGACCAATTGACTTTCTCCAAGTGAGATTGAGCTAACAGTTCGCAAACATGAAGCACTCCCTAAGCAAAACTGGGATAAGCGCAGTTCATGCACGGCAGCCCCCACCCCTTCATTGAAATAGGCCTTCACTTACAATCAAACTGGGAGGAAAGAGAATCTCTTGCGTTTCGTCGAACTTCGGGAAATCATCGAAGGTAATGAGCTTTTCGTTATCAGCGTTGTTTCCATTCTCCTTGCACGGGCAAGCAGTTGAGTTCTGTGATGGAATTTGTGCATATTGTTCAATCATAACTAATCCAACACAATGTTCACTGGATAAAATTTGAGAAGACGCTCAACTGACAATTCCATTGCAGCAACCGCTCTTCGTAAACGAATAGAGTGCTTCAAGAATTGGCCGATAACCAGTACAACGACACAGATTTCCTGATGTGGCTAAGGTCATCTTCAAGTCGTAGTTTAAAATCATGTTAAAGATGAATGCTCATGATCATGTTGGAGAACGAAACCGCTAAGAACACGTCAACACATTTCATGGTATGGGCGGAGGCAGGTGTATCGTGCGCCTTTCTTATTGGACTACCCCCTCAGTGATACGGTAAAGAGTAGGCCGACCAATGAGAGAGTAGCAGAGGTGCATCTGGCTTTGGCCAGACATTTTCTTACATGGGAGGCTAGTCTCACTCGACGAGGCTAAAAAAAAGCTGACTCAATCCATAAGAAAGAGCAATCGGGTGAGGTGAGTTAACTTTACTATCCAACTGAACGTTCATGATATGTGAAGAAATTATTTGGATTTGGAAGCTTTGGAGTAGGGGATAAGAACTGAAACACCAAACACAAGCTGATGTGACGAATAACACAAAAGTTCGATAATCAAAAATTGAAAACTGAACATTTTCGTCACCCGTTCCTTAACTTTTAGCTCAGAGGCTTTCAGATATACAAAACGCTAAAGGATGAATCGCTGGGAGTGATAAGCTCAGAAATCGGCCGGAGAAGAACTGTTCAACCACTAGAGGGATGAGGAGCTTCAAAAAGCATCACAGCACTAAAGGAAAAAGTGGGAACGACGCCTCCCGTATTTATTAACGAATATTTCTTTCCGGTTTAAACGAACTACATATGTTATAGCAGGCTCTGCCAAGCAAAGATTACCTTTGACGGCTTGATGGATTTCATGAATAGTCGGACAGGGATTTGTGCGAAGGAGCGCGTAGGCCGACATCACGAATCCAGGAGAGCAGAAACCACCTGAAAATGTAGAGCGACAATTGAAAGGACATTTTCAGAGGCAAACACCAATAGCGTAACTCGTACAGCCGAAGGTTCATTTGCTTATGAGGAGCGTTTGATCTTCGTGATCAAAATCGCAGAGCATTTATCGGGCACCTCATTCTACCTGGTTTATGTCAGTTTCGGGGCTCCCCCACTTTCTTGCACGATTTGGGGCGCGGCCGCGGCGAGCGCGGACGAGTCGATAGTGCCCGCGAACTGTGGTGGTGATGCGTTTTCAAATTTACCCACACAGTTCGCGGGCACTATCGACTCGGCCGCGCTCGCCGCGGCCGCGCCCCAAATCGTGCAGAAAGTGGGGGAGCCTCAGTTTCGGCACATTATGCCCGCTATCGCGTGCACATCTACGGTTCCTTGGCGATGTTGAGGCGGTAAATGATATTCTCGAATTAGGCTTCGTTCATTATTAACATAGTCCTCCTCCTATTTTACTCTTACTCGATTTCCCCAACTTGCTCCGATTCTTGGACATTCTAAGAATGGAATTATGCGAGTGGCTCGATCCATCTCGATGTATGCCTTGCTCACCATTAAGCTGCCCTTCCCTCTTTCCCTAATCTCTGCTCTTTTTTTTCCGAGTTCATGGATTTCTCGATAACGAACTATGAGCATATGCAGGGAACCACGCCCGCTTGAGGACACGCTTTGCCAATGTTAGGGTTTCTGCTCAACTGAGTATGGCCTGTGAACATTAGGCATTGCTCATCTCCACAATTGTGTACTTCTTCGTGAATTTTCTTATGGATGAATATGAGTTTCTTTTGGCATTTCCAATTCCAAGAACACTCGGCCCACCACAGGTACATTTCTCGAATATGAACTATCAACCCTACAAGTACACACCTTTGCGAGTTTTTTCCTGTTACCTAGACAGCTGTGGAACAGCATAGGAATTTTTGCCCTCGGCAGATCTCCATTTCGACTCATGTCGAGCCACCTAGGTTAAACTTCCTTGGCTGTTGTGCGTTTCGCAAATCTTGGCTTAGGCCTCACTCGCTCCAAAATTGACCCGGTGTCTCCAGTCGACTTTTTGCAGTAACACCTATTTTCAAGACACACAAAAAAACAGACAGGAAGCCGAATTGCTCTTTAGTAAATAGGATAATGTCGCATAGGATATCATAGCAAGCAAATCATACATAGCAAATTGTTTCTCGTTTTCATTTTCGAGAAAAAGAAGAAATCGTCCATTTTCGCTTACACTGCGTGCCGTGGCCTCGAGCAAGGCGATCCTGGATGGGATGAATCTTCTTTGTACTACCGATTCCTTCCACTGTCAAAACCAAACAATGATGAACCATATATAATGGCATAAGGCAGGCGTTCACCGCAGCATATCTAAAAGCAACATTTGATCGAAATTCAATTTGTCTGACGTGAACATGGATGGGGTACCCATCAAATGCAAACCGAGCTTATAAGAATTCCATGATAAGGACGAAAGTCGAACAAAGGAAAACATACCCAATGAAGAGACAGGCGGACCTCCTAAGGGCGCGGATGAAACGCATTCGCATCGAAGGATATGCCCCGGCGATCTAGCATGGCCTTCCCTGCGGGAGCTATTGGCGCGCTAATGTGCGGTACGCCCCTCTGTCGGTCTGAGCCTCAAGCCGTTTGGCAGAGAGCGTTAGCGTTGAAGAGGGCAGCACCGATGAGAGTCGCATCAATGCGGAAACCAACGGGCAAAGAAGGGGTCCATTTCTCGGTTCTAGGCCGTTTTCTTGTTTTCTCTTTTTGTGCGCCACCGACCATCTCTAGCTCGATTTCCAGTGGGCTGCCTTTTCATCGTATAATCCGCTTTTAAAGCAATTTGTCTTGTAAGAATTGCAGCTTATTCGGCTTTACACCCGCGAGAATTTTCATGTTTGTTTCACACAGTGCCGACACTACAAGTTGTAAAACATGGGAATGTCTTAGGACAATTGCGAGAAAAACATCTTCGGTTGCGTTAGTAGTCGTACATCGTCTTCGGTCTACTCTTCGAATATCAAATGATATTGTAGACAAGTTTCATGTTCTGTTGTCTCTGCTGGAAGATTTTCGAGAAGCTCTTTTGTAGGAGAACTGTGACGAGAGTGAAGTGATTGTGTGCAATTGATTGAATGCTACAAAGCGCTTTAAAAGATTCGTAAGTGGCGATCTCAGCCTCAAAAACGAATCCTGTCCAGAAAACAAAACTGAGCGTGAAAAGTTTGATTCCCGCCTTGAAAAATGAACCGCCGTAATGCATTTTCGTGAAAGAAAATATTTTTTTGTTCAAGTACCATGAGCGTTGTGTTTTACTTGAATTTATGAACAAAGTTCGAACAATGAGTGTCGAGAATCTTTCTCCCAACCTAAGACATAAAAGCAATCTATATATCTATCAACATAAATTGTGAATGTGACCCTTGAGGAATTTTGCAGGTTTTCTTTATTCCAGGTGCAGGTGGGCAAATCACTGTCCAGCGGAGAGAAAAATAAATTCACCTTGCCTTCTCTGTCTTGTGATCCCATTTTCCAATCACTACTGTACACGATCCACACACTCCTTCTTCACATGCAAGTTTTGTGCCAGTCAAGCCCACTGGAAGAGAAGGCTTTGCATGACTGACTAGTAATTTCGATATTCTTGAACAAAGACCTCAGCTTACAACCCACAGAACTGCTATGGATGCATTACTTCACACAATTATAAAAACCGTCCAACAAAACGGCAATTATTTTTTTTATCCTTCGCCACTTAATAAGAAAATGTAACATGTGCGTCAAAGTCGCGGATATGGCGCAGAAGTGAGCGTCACCGTTTTGGCCTGGCCCCCTCGAGCGAATACCTCTAATACCGTTCAAACCGTGTGTCATGGTTCGCGACGACGGTCGTGGGTGCACCGCGCGCCCGGCCCCTGTCGCGCCGTTGGTCGCGCTGGCGGCGCATGCACCTGCTGACAGAGTCAACCCTGCGTTGCGCACTTCTCAACGACCACGTTGCG